CAAAGTATAAAATTTATTTTTCTAACATTCACCCTCATGCCATAATGCCAGCAAAGCTGGTATCTATATGCTATTACATTCAACAAATAGTTCTTTTTTCCTTTTCCTAGTGCTCCAAGTACTACGTTTTTTTAATGGCTTCACTGAGACAACATTCACACACCACACGTACTTTGTCAATTTAAAATGTACAGTTCAATGGTTTTCTGTACATTCAGAATTGTGCAACCATCACCACAATCTAATTTTCAAACACTTTTATCATCCCCGAAAGAGACCATGTACCGTCAGCAATCACTCACCATCCTACACCACATCGTGGATTTTTTTCCAATAAATATACAGTTGGACCTCCATATTGTCAGGTTTTGCTTCTGTGGATTTAACCAACCTTGGATGGAAATTTCTATCTGTGGTTGGGTGAATCCTCAGATTCAGAATCTGAAGATATGGAGGGCCGATTGTACTATACCACTTTATATAAGGGACATGAGCATCCTTGGATTTTGGTATATGCGGGGGCTCCTAGAATCAATCCCCCTCAGATACCAAGGGACAACTGTATACTACGTTTTTTCCTATACATGCATACTTACGATAAAGTTTAATTCATGAATTACGTACAGTAAGAGAATATCCAAATTGCTAGCACCATTACTCTTAGGCTTTGGGGTCATTAAGTAAAATAAGGGTTACTTGAACACAAGCGCTGCAATACTGCAACAGTCATCTGATAACCCAGATGGCTACTATGTGACTAATGGTCGGGATATGCTGGACAAAGGGATGATTCATGTCCCAGGCAGGACAGAACTGGATGTCGAGAGACTTCATCACACTACTTAGAATGGTGTGAAATTTCAAACTATGAATTGTTTATTTCTGGAATTCTCCATTTAATATTTTTGGACCGCTGTTGACTGTAGGTAAATGAAATCTCAGAAAGCAAAATCGTGGCTAAGGGGGGAGTTGACTGTACTTGCTTTTAGCAAGTTGATGGTAAACTCTTAGTTACTGTTTATACTTCTGCTGATTTTTCTGATTTGGCTCCTTACCCTTTGGCCAGGGTCTTTTTCGCTTGTGCCTTTGCATTTACGTTTGGAATGAGATCGGAAAGTTGGTCCTATGAAAAGGTTCAAAAATTCTTTGATGATCATGGGGCAATAAATTTTGGTTCCTTATGATTCCACCTAGAATAAAAGTTAGATTCCTCTCATCTCAACTAGTTGCTACGATAATTGTTAGAAATTAGGGAAACAATGGTTACATGACATGTGACAACAGTCATAATTAAAAGCCATGTTTATATTTAAAAAGCAACTATAACTCACTTATTATTTTTGCTTCATTGTCTACATTCAGGTTCTGTTTTATGTGACCAAAGTTGTTTTAGAGGTTTATTCTTATTAAAAAAAAAAGTTGGGACTTCCCTGGTGGCGCAGTGGTTAAGAATCTGCCTGCCAATGCAGGGAACACGTGTTCAAGCCCTGGTCCGGGAAGATCCCACATGCTGCGGAGCAACTAAGCCTGTGCACCGCAGCTACTGAGCCCGTGAGCCACAACTACTGAAGCCCACGCACCTAGAGCCCGTGCTCCATAACAAGAGAAGCCACCGCAATGAGAAGCTCACACACCACAATGAAGAGTAGCCCCCGCTCACCACAACTAAAGAAAGCCCGCGAGCAGCAACGAAGACCCAATGCAGCCAAAGATAAATAAAAATAAATAAATCTATTAAAAAAAGTGTTGAAAGATTCTTCTTTAACAATTCTCTCATGTCTCTTCAGTCATTGAATTAAACTTTATGAAACCCTGATATAAAGACACCAAAACTCAGCCAAGTCAACTGAACTTCACTAGCTTTCCTAGACAACTTTATCACTCTCTGTAGTGAGCATTCTCTCTCCCCATGGAGAACTTGAGTATAATTTTTTGTTTTATTTTCCCTTAAGCAGTCAGGGAATTTTCTCATTCTCTAGAAGCTGGCTGAAGGCTTCAGGTTTCCCCTGAGATGTTCAGACAAACATGGCTGTACTAAAGTACTAATACTAATGTTTTTGTAACTTGCTATTTGCTTTCTATGTTGTTAGTCAATTGACTGGTGAACTACACAGTATAATGAGAATAAACATTTTCTTAATAAACTCAAAATTCTCCAGGTAGACTGAAAGTACTTTATGTACTACAGTGAGAAGAAAAACATATCCTTATTTTTACACAGTTATTCAAACTCTGCTACTATGGTTCTCTCAATCCTGCTGTAGAAAGTATACATTCAGGAATCCACTGCTGCATTAAGACCCTTTCGTTTTCCTGTTCCATCTTTACAAACAAGTTTTCTAAAGCATTAGTCAAGGACACAGAATTTTATGTGGTTGTTGGCAGAGACACTTAACAAGTAAAATTTCTGGGGAAGAAAAAGGGAACATACTGTATTTGCCCAGTTAATGACCAAATTAAAAGAGAATGATAATGAGAATATGGTTTCAAATGTTCTCTCACTTATACGTAGTATTTTGAGCAATGGGAATGACCAATAAAATATGAGTTAGCACCAAAGAAGAACATAGTGTAGTACTTACTTTTAAGGTTGCTATTGTTTTTTTTAATCACCTTTCAGGTCAGTGGCAGGAGGAGTGATTCACAGTTATCAACACTACTACTGAATCAGTGTTACCCACTCTCTGCACTTAGCTCCGAGGAAAGGCAGCAAAATTCAAGTTCATAAACCCATTTGGAAAATGCTGTGATTTGCAAAGTCTCATAACCACAAATGTTATAATAAGGACTGTCAATGGCAGATTCCAAATGGAATTTTCTTTGTATTTCTAGGAAGCGGATGCCTCAAGAAATTCAGTTTTACTCAGTGAAACCTTCATGCAAGAGGAAAACAGTCAATGACCTGTAAAGTTCACAGAATTCATATGTCCATTACGAGTTCAACTTGTCCTTTCACTGCGTAATCACCTCCATGATTGGCAAATACTGTTAAACATGACCTGTTTTCTCAAAGAAATATCAATTTTCTGGCCTCTGATTAAAGGAGAATACTGCTAGGGCAACCTCAGTACTACATACATTCAACACATTTTTGTGGAATTAACAGGAATACTATATAAATCAAATAATATGTGTATAAAAATGACAAAACACTTACAGATGACCAAAATTTAAGTTCTTAATAAACATAATCCCCATTGCCACTCTGGCCCCAACTGAGGTTTCCAAGGAGCAATTAGAAAGAATTATTTTTCTTAGAACAAGTCATGACAAGGATAGAATTAAGTCAACTATAATGCTCATTTTTTTCAAGAAATTGAGAATATTCAACTAGCAGGAAAATCTTAAAAGATACTAATTTTTTTGGTAGGAGAGAAGTACTTTGGAATTTTAAACTTCATAATGGGAAGACAGATCATAACATCTCTCTCACACCCACACTAAATAAATAAATAAAAGAGATGAAAAATAGCACCAGTCAGGTTGTGGCTGCACACAGCTATCTCTGTTTATCAGCGTCTGATATCTGGACTGGGTGCTGTTCCCACAGTCTCATATCAGCACAACCATTTAGAAATGAAACAAATGACAGCAGGAAACAAGCAAAACAATTCTCCGGCTGTCTGGTACACATCACCACCTCAAACTTAGGATATAAAAATTCTCTCCTAAAGTTATTAAATATCAACTCATTAACTTGTCCCCAGACAAACAAACAGGGAGGTTCTTATTAGAACTGGATGAACTACCTCTGTGGTCCGTGACATGAAAGTTTTTACCATCCTCATCTAAGGTATGTTCCAAAACACAAGAGGTGTCACAGACAGTGGCACAGCCCTAAAGGAACTCATAACAAGTTCCCCCTCCTATTATATAATGCTCATCCCTGTGCTGTGTTCTATTCCATCATCATCCCCTGAGGTCAGGTGGTAATAAGCTCTTCATCTTTAAAGAGGAGGGAACAAATGCAACATGTTATGCTATTCTCTGCTGATCATGACTGACGAATTGGAGCAGCATACTGACCCAAGCAGAGACAATTAGATTCTCTCTCCCAGGATCTGAGAATTAGGACTCTGATAAGTCAGCAAAAGGCATGACACTCCCAAGGACATGTTAAGGGTTGGGAGGGAAAGGGGGTGGGGGAGGGGTCGGGGTTGCTATTTCAGTCAGCAAATAGGGAAAACGGGCCTACGGAAAGCAGCAGCAGAATAAAACTGAAGCAAAAAGAAGCAGATAACAGAAACTAAATGCCCCAGAAAGAGAGGCTTTTTTTTTTTTTCTAATTTTAAGAATTATCATTCCTTATGTATGTATGTATGTATGTATGTATGGCTGTGCTGGGTCTTCATTGCTATGCATGGGCTTTCTCTAGTTGCGGTGAGCGGGGGCTACTGTTCCTTGCGGGGCACGGGCTTCTCATTGCAGTGGCTTCTCCTGTTACAGAGCACAGGCTCTAGGAGCATGGGCTCAGTAGTTGTAGCGCGTGGGCTTAGTTGCTCCATGGCACGTGGGATCTTCCCGGACCAGGGCTCGAACCCATGTCCCCTGCATTGGCAGGCGGATTCTTGACCACTGGACTACCAGGGAAGTCCCAAGATAGGCTATTCTGAATGAATCCAATGGCTTTTCCATTTCAGGTTCTCATTCTCTGAAATCTAGGTGTACATCTTCCCCTTGAGTTCCGTGAGAAAAGTTTGCACACTTCTTATAAAATCCCTCCTTTTGTTTCTCTGTAATTAGTTTGAGTGGTTTTCTTGACTAATAAGATTTCTAATTATTAACAATCATTGATTTAGGGTTGACTTTCTTCAACTACTTGTTAATAATCATCAAAATTTTTTTCCCTTGATTTGAGATGTCAATCCTTTATTTACCTATCATAGGTTTCTCAGGGAACAAGATCACAGCCAGATCTTGGGAAGAGAGGGGTATTGTTATTTTTAAATTTAGCAATGAAAGGAAAATTTTTTTATTGACAAAGTAAGGTAACTACTTACATAATCTGGTAGAGGAACATCATTGGAACTCAGCGAACCTCTCAAGGACTGTGTGGCTTGTTCCAGAACTTTGTTGTGTTTTTTAGACAGCAAGGAAAACAAGCTGGAAAAAAAAAAAAAAAAACCCAATTATATTAAAAGAACTAAGTGTCTCCTTTTCTAGGTTTTATATTGACATTCCACAGAATGTCGATTATTCTAAAAGATTCTTTTTTTCGTGCCTGTGTTAACAGCAGGATTAACAATACTATTGATATAACAAATAATAAAGTGAAAAGAATGTTTACATTATAAGGGTTCTAAAATAAAAGTTTGCCAGTTTCAAATTATATTTCAAACAGAGGAGGAATTTTCAGAAGACTACTATCATGGAGAGGACAGTGGACAGATATTAAGAAAACCTGAGATATGGACTGACTTTATGAGTAACTCATAGTGCAATCTGTTACAAGTTACTTGAGCTTGCTGTATCCCAATTTTCTCATCTTTTTTTTGTATCTTACTGCATGGGTTTATTTATTTTATTTTATTTTTTTAACATCTTTATTGGAGTATCTCATCTTTCAAATAAGTGCACTGGGTTATTTCTCTAGCATAATACAGAGTCTATGATTCTATATTATAGCTTTATATTCTTATTCTCAAAAAGAATGGCTTTAAACATATGTATTATAAGAGTTTTACTTTACTGGTACTGAATAACTCCCCTGTGTAAACAACTAAAAAAAACTGAACAAAATACATAAAATAACTGTTTTCAGATGTTGAACATCTGAAATGTTCAAAACCTGCCCCAGTGTCTTCTTGAACGTTTGGCTAAATGCAAAGAAAAGACCCCATAAGGTGTGGCAGTAAACCACCATCCAGGAGCCACAAACTGAACAGAGATTTTGGAGATCACAAAAGGCTGGAGGTATGCTGAAGTTCCAACCAGCCAGAGTGGATAAAACTCACTGAACATGAACACTCAGTTGAATTCTCAGAAAGGCCACGCTTTAGGAGTAGGGCTATTCTAGCCCAGAGTAAAGATGATTCTAAGATGCATCCCAACAGACCTAAATGAGCAATTTTCAAAGTCTAAAACAAATTTACATTAAATGTAAATGGATTAAAGACTCTCGTTAAATGACAGAGATTGTCAGACTGGATAAAAAAGCAAAACCCAGTAACATGCTATTTATAAGAGGCACGCTTGTAAATTTAAAGATACAGATAAGTGAACAGTAAAATGATACAAGAGAGATATTGTATAAACACTAATCATAAGAAAGCTGGAGTGGCTATATTAATATTAGACAAAGTAGGCTTAAGGATAAGAATATTATTACCTGAGATAAAGAGAGAAATTTTATAGTGATGAAATGGCAAATTTATCAAGAAGCTATAACAATCCTAAATGTGTATGTAGCTAATAATAGAGCTTCAAATACACATAATTATATGATCCTAATGTTAAAGCTACTATATCTAGTGAATAAAGAATTCTTCCTTGGGCTAGATGACAAGTTAAAAATACAGACAATTCTGATTCCATGTGCTTTTCTATATAAGTATGACCTGTAGTACCTTCTTTAATGCCCAAAACATTACTCTAGTATTTCTTAGTGGTATCTTTCTAAACCGAATATTGATTTGAATATAAATTTATGAAAATCTCTACTTATTTCAAATGGTTTAAATGGGATAATTACTGAAAACAAGACTACTAAGTATTCTTTCTAGATTAAGTTTTAACATTAACATGTTAAAAAATGAATGAAAAAAATTCCTTAACACTTATTGGTAATGCTGGATGTGTACAAAGCAAATGTAACAAAGCCAAGAATATTCTCTAAATCTATACTCAAATACAGCAGGAAAATAAGTGAAATAATTACTAGGTGAATAAGTGTGAAATCATATGATACTGATCAAGCATACGTTGATAAGAGAGACTTCTTTGAAATGGAATAGTTCAGCAAAGTTTCATGAAGGGTTAGACTTTTATGAAGAAGGAAAAAGATTTGTGCAAGAGAAGAGAGAGGCATTTCCAAACAGAAGGCAAAGCACAGAGGCAAAACAGGGGACAGTGAGAAGAGTGAAGTGGAAGTGATGTAAAGAAGTAGGAAAAAAGACTCAATCTGTAAGGGTATGTACATTCTTTTCAATCATTTTACTTTTCTGGGTCTTCTCTATTTGAGGTTTAGTTTTGCTTGTTTTTTCTTTTTTAAGGTTAAAAGTAAACATCACACTTTTTCCTCACATCCATACCCATGACCCACTGGTAACAAATGTTAGCAGTTTATTGTCTATGATTCCAACAATTTTATATGCATCAAGGCATGTATATGAATGAATACTGTACATATACATCCATGTTTTCTTCCCACAAAATAGGTACTGCTCTGTACCTTGCACTTTTTCCACTTAACAATATAATCCTTGATTCGTTCAATAAACACATATTGAGTGCCAGTTAACTGATATCCAAGCATATGGATATACCTTAATTTACCTAGTCCATTAGAAATGAATCACTGCAATGTTTCCAGTTTTTTGTATTATAAATAGCACTGCAATGAACACCCTTGTACATAATTTTTAGTACATCTGAGGTGAGACTGACTATAGATAAAGTAAAACTGCTGAGTAAAAGAATAACTGAACATAGTACTAAACTGCAATGGGGGTATATATTCTTAAATATGCAAATTATTTTGCAGGCAATGAAAAATAAAAGATAAAAATATGTTGGGATAGTGCATAAAGCATATTCACATGGAAATGCATAAAAGAGGGCAATTAGTAAGATTCTTTTCATTGGTTGTAGTGTATTTTCTGGAATAAATGGCGTTTCAGAAGTTTTTTGAGACTGAATGGACTTTGGTGGTTGATTTTAGTATAGGGCATGGCAAGACTCAGAGGCATCAATTGGATGCCCAAACAAAAAGCAAAAGCAATAAATATACCTGGAGGAAGTGAGCTTTTTGGTGTTAGTAAGAGGAAAGGGGACAAGTGAAGTACAGCAGTGCACTTTAAGTTTACAAAATACCAGAACTCAGGAGCTGTTTTATGGGTTCAATAAACCTGGGATTTTCTCTGTCAGTGTTCTAAGAGTGTTCCCTTCAGAGAAGGACAACAGAGGTAATCTATGGTAACTTTTATCATCACTTTCAGAAATTTATGGAACGAGTCCTAGGAATCAAAGCAAAAAGGATTTGATATTGTTTCCTTTGGAGAAGAAAGCCTAGTTTGTTTATTTTAAAAGAGAATACTAACAATCCTTTTTCCTTGTTGGTAAAAGACAAAACAAGGAAGAGAGCTGCAATTCAAACATAAGCTCTTTCAGTTGGACATAACAGAAAATTTGACTGTTATGGGCATAAAATGTTGACATGGTCCACCTCAAGAAGCTGTGGCTACTGCTCCCAGTTGTTTTTAAGAAAGTTGGTGTAAGAACAGATGATTTGAGGTCACTCCCATTTTCTATCATGAATTAAAAACAGAATTCACACTTACTCAGGCTGTTATTCTTCTACAATCTAATATGCTTTTTTCCTCAGGTCTGCTAGCCAGAGCTCTCAAAGTTGTTTTTTTTTTTTTTTTAATTTTTAAAAAACATTCTAATTTTGTCTCCTGTTTAGCATTTGTAGGGCAAAATGACCTAAATTTATATGAGACATGACTTTCAAATTGCTGAGAAAAGTAACTTTTGCTTAAAGCTTTTGCATTCAAAGTACCAGCCCCAGCTAAATGCTAGAGTGAGTGACACACATGATGTTTGTATGGAAGGGGGTAATTCCGATTCTGGACATAAGTGAAACTGATTCCAAGTGTATTGATCTTCACTCAGGATACTTTTTTATTTAAATTAGAAAAAGACTAGATTTTCCTTTTTGTACAAGAATGTTCATTGTAAATTGGTTTAACAGTGAAAATTTAAAAACAACAAAAACTCTCAAGAATGGAATGGGTAAATAAACTGTGGAAGGGTCATACAATGGCATACTATGTAGCAATTTAAGGTTATCTAAAACTATGTGTAACAATAGGGATAATCCTCAAAAACAATGTTGTTCTACAAGCAAGGACCCTGGTAGAGAATGTGAATGAGGTATTATTTATATAGTGTTTTTAACATGCAAAACATTACATATCTTCTACAAATAAAACATTTGAAGTAATAAACATATACGGAAATGATAAACACTACATTTAGGATAGTCATTATTCTCTGAGAAAGAAGAGAGGAAATAGGATCAGGGAGGAAGAAATAAGAGGTTCAGCTCTCTCTCTCTAAAATGTTCTTTCAGTAATACTGCATATATACATAGGTGACTGCTATATTACTGGGTTTTTTTGGGTGTATACCTGAAATATTACACATTTTAAAAACTGGAATAAAAAGAACACACTATCCTGAAGAAAACAGAGCCCCGGCCAAAAGCCAGCGTTTCACAAAAGAAAGCAGCATATAAATATGCATGATGAGTCCAACCTGGAATGTGCTCAGAAAACCACTGGCTGCTGCCAAGGGCTGTCCTTTAGGGCGCCCAGCTGGTGGCAGGAGATGAGGACAGTTTAAAGACAGACTGTGAAGGGCCGCTTGTGGCACATCAAAAGTCCTGGACCTTTCTGTATGGAGTAAGAAGCTAATGTTACAGTCTTACAAAATGAGTTAAAGAGACATGATTCCTTGCCCCCAAGGAAATCAAGTCTAATGGAATAAGGGGAAAAAAACGTCTACAATACTGAAATCAGAGAACTCCATGGGTCTGAAGAGAGTGCCATGGGAGTACAGTTGAAGGTTAGGTACGTTTCACAGAGGAAATCTACCTTGATGGTGGCCTTGAAGGTTAGGGGGTTTGCTTGTTGGGAAAAGTAAAGGGGGAGGGAGAGCCATTCTGAAAGGGGGAAAAGTGTATAGAAAGACACAGAGAGACTTCAGGGAAATACCAATAGCTTATAAGGCCAGAAAAGTGCAAGTCCACTGCGGCAGAGGGTTCGAGATGGCGAGAGATGAAGCTATCAAGGTCAGCATGGGCCTGTTAAAGACCATGCAAGAGGTCTGCACTAAGTCACTGAGACAGACAGTAACTCAAACAGTTACCAAGAACCTACTAC